TGTAGTATTTCATATATTTTTGTTAACAGAAGTATATAGAACTTTGCTTTTCTGAATGTGTTTTTTCTGCTTTTGTTTAATTTAGCATGAAACAACTCTCTGGTTTTTTTTTTTTTAACCATGGTTTCTTCTACCATAATTTTTTTTTTCTAACTTGGGGATAGTTTAATTATATTTGAACTATGATGTGGCTAATTGCTTCAGCATCTCATACAAACCTATCTTTATGTTGTAACTGAATGTTATTTTAACTTGCAAGTAATCATAGTGTATTGGTCTTGACACGATCTAGATCAAAAGCGTAGTCAAATTTTTCCAGGCAAAAAGGATAATGGATGCTACAACAGAGTTCATTCAAGGAAAAGGGATGGAGGCAAAAAAGGTACAACTCTAAATTCCACAAAAAGTTTCATGAAATTTACACAATACAACAAGTACCATCTTGTGCTCTTTTCCACTTTGCTGCGCTTGCTTGTTGTTTTTGTGTGTCCTGATAACCTCTTCATGATTAGAAGATGTATTCTGGTAGAGCTCGTGTAAAAGAAGTGCTTGGTATAAAGAAATATGATTCTGTGAGGCTGTCTTTCGAGAAAGTTAAATGAATAATGATTTGTGTCATGGGGTTTATATAGTTTTCTTTTGTGTGTAGAAAATCTGACTTATTTATTATAAGATTCGTTTTTATTATTCAAATAATGTTAGTTATTGTAAAAGCTGATGTTAAGGTACTCTTGAGTAATTTAAAAGGAAAGAGATTGAAATAATAGTGATATTTTTTCAAAATTGCATGATAAGGGAATTAGTATGACAAATTAGATGGTCAACCTTATGCATTTAATAGAAATTATATGACAATAGCTTAATTTTAGACTAACAATTGGAAGACCAATTTTATTTGCACGATTTTTGTTATTAAATGATAGTGATGATATGCAATTTGTTTTTTTTTAGCTGCTGCATGATATGAGGGTTTAAATGATCATTTTCTTATAAAAATGACTCGAATCGTTGATGAATATAATTGTGGAATATATATTTATAATTGCTGCTTTGACTGTTAAAATATATATTTTGTATGTTGTCTTAATTTTGTGGTTATTGCATTTAGAAATAATTTTATAAGTCTTCGCATGATGACTGTAGTGAATATCGTCCACCATGTGGGGAAAAAATGAAAATGTCAAGTTGTGAATAAATCTATTAAACAAAACGTAAAATCAATGAATAATGTGGAGGAAAAGTATATCTTTGTCTTTATTTTCGTTGAGCATGGTGAGTCAAAAATTTCAGCAGCCATTGAAAAATGTGGAGGAAAGTGATTTGGTAGAATAATAGTAAAAATGTGGTTTGAGAGTAGAAATTTGGTGGAGCAATAAAATGAATTACAATGCTTATCCTCCCTATATATAATTTCAGAATGCGCTGAGCCTACGTGGCTGCTTCTGGTGCTTCGGAATCCTATTTGGCGAAGAATCATGCTTCGTAATTAGGTTTGGATAAATA